CTGTGTGTGTGTGTGTGTGTGTGTGTGTGTGTGTGTGTGTGTGTGTGACTTTGCAGCCCCTGGTCATTTGTGCCTCACCCCCATCTCCTTAGCCATGGTTACTGGCCCTTCAGGCCTCACACCGCCACTTGAATAGGTCTTTTCACTTGTCAGGCCGAAGCCCAGGTTTGACAAGAGAGCCATGTGCTTTCAAAGACATATTGGAGGTATGATGGTACCCATTATCTCAGCAGAATAGCCATCCCTATTTCCTTTGTCTGGGAGACTAGAAAGGGACCTGGCTCAAGGCCAAGGACTCCAGACTGTCTCTCCATTATTCCTGTAGTCTTGAGAACCAACAGGGAGACATATCTATGCATGTCTTACATGTGGCTATCCTGCACAGCATGCAAGAATCATTACAGGGTCTTGCAGCTACCCACCCAAAGCCTGCCCTAGAGGCTGGGTACTAGCCTGCAGGCCTTGTGTGCAGATCCCAACCCCCAGCACAGATACTTCTATAGTGTGCATGGGACTCAGAATGTTCTAGGTAGGTGGGTGGTGATAGGGAGACCAAGAGAAATCTGGGTGGTGTTTTCTTAAGGGGCACCCAGAAATTCAGATCCCAGAGCAGAAAAGCCCTTCTTTCAAGACAGGGCCAATAGGCACTAGGAGGCCTTATCCCCTTTGGAGGTTAGACACAGTGAGGGATAGTGACAGGATGGAACCTGGGTTCAGTAATGATGGAAGAAGGCAGTTGTGAATCAGGTGACTTCAGCAGGACACTAGGGAGGAGGGGCTGAGTGTGTCCTGACTACTCTCAGTCCACCTGGGAGCCTGGTCCTGGGGTCCATTCTACCCCTTGGGTGGCTGGATACTCTTTAGGTAGATGGCAGAAGACAGGAGTCTTCTGGGGCCTTTTTTCTCATCCTGGTAAATTGCGGTGCTTTTGTCAAAGTTGTGTTTGAGGGGAGCCTGTGAAATGCAAAGATGGTAGGAGAGTGTTCTGCACCACAGGCCACTGCCCATGAGCCCTGTAAGGACTGAGTGACCTCTCGTAGACGGTTGTTAATCTAGACTGTTGTCCACCAGCTCGGCTGGGCTGGGCTGGGTCAGTGATCTCAGATACTCCCTCTTCTCTTCCTGTCTGCAGGGCATGCTGATAGAGGGGCCCCCAGGCCCTGAAGGCCCTGCCGTGAGTGTCTGGTTTTATTACCCTCTGACCTGTGGGAGGTATTGTGGGAGGGGGGACTGCTGGGTAGAAAGGTAGATGCTTTCCCCTTTTGCAGATTCCTGGACTTAATTCTTCCCTGGCCCCTCTCTCACTTAACCAGAAGGGAGCTCTCATTTAACTGGAAGGGAAGGTCTGCCCTGATGCCATATCTGAAACCCTGTCTTGACTTTATTTTTAATTCCAGGGTCTTCCAGGACCGCCAGGAACTACAGGTCCTACTGGCCAAGTGGGTGACCCTGGAGAAAGGGTAAGAGGCCAGTTCAGTCCCAAGACCATATGTTCTGTGGGCTCGTCTGTGCTTTTTTCCTTTTGCCTTGTCTAGTCTCTTCCTCCTTCCTTCCTGCTCTGTTTTCTGCATTGTTTTTTAATGTAGAAATGACACTAAGAACATCTACTCCTTCCTCAAATTGCCTCTCTCCCCAGGGCCATGCAATTTCACCCCCTCAGATCTTTATTGAGTTGACTGCCACTTGGATTGTGCCAGGAGTGTAAAAACCAACCTTGGTCCACAGGCAGCTAGCAGTCAACCCTCAGCAGTTTCTCTACATTATAATGTGTGACAAGCTTGAAGGGCCCTGGTGCTTCTGTGTCTCACAGGAACAGCTACTGACCCTGAGCATACATTAGCCCCTTTTATTAGAAATCAAGCCACTGGCTGGGAAGTTTGTTCTGGGTGTGTGTGGGGGGGTGCGAGCCGTGCTTTGAGCCATGAGCTCCTACCACACTTGGTAATGGATTGGCTTACTTCATCCTTCCTTCCTTCCTTCCTTCCTTCCTTCCTTCCTTCCTTCCTTCCTTCCTTCCTTCCTCCCTCCCTCCCT